TTCCTTTTGCTCCTGCATTAGTACAATGCGGAGATTTCTTTGCCAATCAAGAAAGTTTGGCCCGCTCAACTTCTCCTTGTCGAGAATTGAGCGCAAAGAGAATTGGTTGTTGTTTGAGTTACTTGCAGACATGATTCTACAATTGAAAGAATTTGAAGTGAAAAACCATTCATACATCAATAAGTCGAAATTCAAAGCGTTCATGCATATATTCAAACTTATTGAGCATTTTATCCACGCATTTTTTAAGATTGTCCCTTATGGGCGAGAATAAAATGATTCCGAGATCCCAAAGATCAAGAAATGGTTAAGCATGCTTTGGCTTGTCTTAACCATTAAATATCTTAAGGTAAGCAATCCAATTGCTAATAGCTCCAAGCTACTCTCGGTTTAATAAGATGTCGCATCTAATGCATACTTGACATTTTATCTCTTTTGCCACGACATCTAAGGACTCCTTACTGATATCGGTGAGCTTAACCAAGAGAACTTGTATACCTAGTATACCTTACGTTCCTAGGGAAGTAGTGATGCCTCGCTTTGGCGTAATCCATCACGTACGCGCATTAGTTCGGTAAGTGTTGTTCTTGGAACGACAAATTTTAGCTCAATATTATTAAGGGACCTAGGGTTTCTATGTTGGTTGATTTAAGTGAACTTAACTAATCGTCGCAACATAATAGAAATCCTAGACATGCATCTAGCAATCATATATAATAACAATATATAAGGCATAAAAATAGATGCATTTGGCAACTAGCATGACCCCTTGAAATCTTCAATTTCCATGGGTCTTCATCTTGGCTCGTCTTCGTCGAAACGCCGTCTTGAGACATCTTGACCAAAATGAAATAAAAGAAGCTAGCTAGAACGACTAAGATTAATCTAATAGTACAAAAATACTTAACGGTTCGCAGACCGTATTTAGATTTACAAAAATACATAACGGAACGCAGTCCGTATTTTCTATCCTAGTCGGGCCCCACTAGTTGCCATATTCAAGGAACCTGTTTTGAAAACAATCTTCCATTCACCCATTCACTATTTGTGAATGGCCCATGCAATTTTACGAAATACATAATTAAACACGCAAAACTAGTACTAACTTAGGTGGTTAATCCAATTAACACGCCTAATTAAAACTAGTCAAAGTGGTTTAATCCATTATTTCTAAACGCAAAATGCTAACGCACTTGATTAAGCTCCCACTAAATTCCGCATCCGTACTTAATTAATCCAATTAATTAAGTCGGCATAACCCATAATTTGTCAAAATTTTGCAAAATCAAAATCGAGGTTTTTAGCCTCATTAAAATAATTAATTAAAATTATTAAAACGGCAAAGATTTATCGCAAAATCATAGCTCATGCTTAAGCAACAAGGCATCATCCCATGATACATGGCGCACCATGGCTGCTAGGCAGCCCATGGCCCTGCGCCATGGTGCGTGGTGCTGGCAGCTAGCAAGTGTGCCTAGCACAGCCTGCCTTGCTAGCTAGCACCAGCAGCATGCTACGCATGCCAGCAGCGGGCTGGCTGGCTGGCTGGGGCTTGCTGCCTCGTTGCCAGCAGCAGCACAAGCGCACCAGCAGCCTAAGGCCCATGCACCAGCACACGCACCACACAACATACCTCTCCTCGCCACACAACCACGCACCAAACGATGCACAACCATATGCGCACCACAGACAGCCTACATGTGGGCTGCTAGGCAGCTCGGCTAGCCTTGGTCACGCTTGCGGTTTTGCATCGATTTGCGTGCATTTTACTCGGAATTTTAATTCCGATTTGTGTGTGACAATAATCAATTCTAAATTACATTTTAGAATTAATTTTGAGGGAAAATAAAATAAAATTAAGTCTAACTTAAACAAATTTATTTTATTGGTGCACAAGCCTAAATTTATCCAAAATTTCAATTTTGAACAAAATTAGGTCAAACTTTATGCTTAAAATAAAATGAGCTATGTCCAAAATTAATCTTGCCAATATGCAAATTAATAATGGATTTGACAAATGGGAATTGGAAAAATAAATTAACCATCCAATGATAAAAAAAAAATAAAAATTCCAACTTGCATACTTGTGTAAAATACCAAGATTACATCTTCCAATATGAAGATTAATCAAATTTTACTCACAAGTAATTGAACTTAATGGATTTTAATCAACCAAAACATGAAAAATCCAAACTTTGTTCAATATGGAATTTAGGGTTAGGGTTCCAATCATTTAAACCTTTAAAGATTAGAACTTTAACATTACTTGGGAACTTAAATACAAAATCACAACAAGTTTTCACACCTCATTGCAATTTATTTGCAAAATTTGTGAAAAACAAGTTTATGTGATAAGTTGGTATATCAACTTAAGCACTAATAAACACTCCATTATTATGCTGAAGGATATTTTAAAACCAGTAGATTAGTGATGCAAATGTGCATTTAATCTAACCTTGTAATGCTTGCATTAATCAAGGCTTAAAAAGAATTAAAATTTTCGTTGAAAAACGAAAAACCCCAGAAAAATTGGGTTTCTGGTTCGAATTTGGCTTCTGGACAAACCTAAAGGAGTAAAACAGTTCCAGAATGTCGATTCCACCCAAAAATCACTATTTTTGAGCCAAAATCTAGGTTCGACAGCCAAATCGAAAATAAAATCGAGTTTTAAAAATTAATTAAAATGAGCATCTAATCTAATTAGATGAACATGAACCAGAAAATTAAATTCTTTTAAAACACCTTAATTAAACAATAATTGCAAAATTAAAAGGAGCGTGGCTCCGATACCGTTGTAGGGTTTCGTAGTGACCCGACACTACGCGGAAGGAAACCCACCAAGACCCGCCCCTTAATTAAAGCAATTAACAAGCATAATAAAATTAATCAAACAAGATTAAGAACAAGAATTATACCTTTGACGCGTGCTTCGCCCCCAAAGAGCTCTTACTTCAAAATTCCGAAAAGACGAGATCTCCGACGGATCGTACCCTCGACCCGACCCGAGCGTCCTAAGTCTTGAAGGTTAGTCAAGACCCAGACAAAATAACTATGAGTTTTACGAATCAAAGGTTTACTCTTTCTTAGAGTTGCCTTTTTAATTCCACTCAAGGTTGTTCATTTCCCAATACCCAAGCTTGGTATTTATAGGGAAATGAACCCTTGCATTTCATTCCCCAACCAATGTGGGAGAATGTTTTATTTGCTAATTAATTTATTTCTAAAATAAATCAATAAATAAATGCAATTATAATTCGACAAGTGTCAAAGGGAGAGAGAGTATTAGGTGAGGACCATGGAGAGGTGGGGGGACCAATGCCTTGCTCCCCAAGGCTTTCACAAAGCCTTGGTCCCCACTCTCCTCACAAACCGCCTCAACCAAGGCTGCTGGCCAACTGTTAGCTAGCACGCCAGCTGGCTGTGCCAGCTAGCCCAGCATGCTAGCACAAGCCCAGCAGCAGCGCTGGTGCTTGCTGGTGCGTGCTGGCGCTGGTGCTGGCTGGTGCGTGCTGGCGCTGGTGCCAGCATCCCACGCATCATCGCTGCACCATATGTTCACATGGCCCAGCATGCGTGCTGCTAGCGAGCCACGCATGCTGGCCTCTCGCACATCATGCGCGCCACGCATCAGCCTCTCTCGCACGCAATGCCTAGCATGCGTGCTTCTAGCAAGCCACGCATGCTTGGCTTGACGTTGCTAGCTTGCTAGCCCCTCGCACACATTCGCACAGCCACACGCATCTGCCTCGGCCATGCACCGTGCACCATGCACGTACATGCCTCGCCCAAGCACCGCGCACCACGCATGCGCCAGCGCTTAGCACTAGCTGTGCTTGGTGCGTGTGGTCCTGCCATGCGCTTAGCATTATGCTAGGGCTGCTACGGCATCAGGCCATCCTAGGGCACGCATGGTGCGCCTAGTGATGCTGCCTGGGCTGCGATGGTGCCCAACCATCCTAGGGCACGCATGGTGCGTCTAGTGATGCTGCCTGGGCTGCGATGGTGCCCAGCCATCCTAGGGCATGCATGGTGCGCCTAGTGATGCTGCTGGCTTGCGATGGGCTGCGATGGCGCCCAACATCATGCTAGGGCTGCGATAGCGCCTAGGCATGATGCCAGGGCTGTGTTGGCGCGCCTGGTGCTAGCGATAGCCAGCCATGGTGCCTAGCCATCACGCTAAGGCTGCGATAGCGCCTAGGCATGATGCTAGGGCTGCTATGGCGCGCCTAGTGCCTATGATGAGCTAGCCTAGCCTAGCTATGGCTACGCTCATATTTGTCGATTGTGATTTTGCGACGCTCGGTCTCGACGCCCTAGGCTCGATGTCCGACGTCTGTATTCGTAAAACTCTGTCGACTCATTAAATCCTTTCGGATTAATTCGTCGTCTCGGATCGGTGATTCGATTGGGTTCGACCCGAAGGGTTCAGTTAAGATTAAGCTGTAACATCAATTGCACATCGATATTACTGATCGGAAGCGGCCTCCACCTAGGCATTCCGATCACTTGACCTTACTGAAGAATTAGCTCTGTAATAATTCTGAACCCTCTACCGGAAGAATACACTTGTTGGAAGGACACCATTCCTTTCACCCTAAGGTTAACACACCACTTCCACTCAAAAGCACTTTTGGGTGGAAGGTTGGAGCCAAGTAATTTATGCCCAAAATAGAATATGTGTTTGAAGTATTTTTCAAGTGCGTAAAAGCAGAAAAATCATCCTTCAATTTATAATGATGGATGGAGGAAGATAGAAAATCAAAGAAGAATATTTTCATCAATGAGGGAATAAAATCAGAATAAACATAATGATTTAATCAACATAATCAACCTCTTAAATGGGGGGTTGCAAAGAATCAAATTAGAAATCAAGAAGAGGAATCCAAGAGAGAGTCGTTGGAGTCCAACGGGTTACCTCGCGCCCGATTGGGAAGCAACCAGTCGAAAACTGGGTTGCTCTCGTGCTCGGTCAGGCGAACAACCAGTCAAAAACTGGGCTGTTCTCGCGCCCGATCAGACGGCAAAACTCCAGAATTTGCAACTCTTCTCGCGCCTGATCAAACGGTGCGCGTCCGATCGGATGCCTATGTTTGACCTTTTGAATTCCCTTTCTTTATTTCAACATCAATTACTCATTCAATTTATTTTACACTCTATCTATCTTTAGTGCTGCAAAGCCTGCAATTCTGTAAATTCCATATACACAAGCAAGTTAGCAACTGCGCAACAGAGAGCGCGAGAAAACCTTCAACCTTCAACAATGGCGGGTGACTTATTTGGCGACTTACCACCTCCTTCATACCTCTCACCTCCTTCTCAAGAACAACAAGAACAACAACTTCATCTTCAACCTCACAAATCTGTCAAAATCAATGAAAATAATAAAACAACTAGTATTATTAAAGACCCAACTCCACTCCCTCCTCCTCCCCTCAAAAGCGCCTTCAAACGATCCAAGCCTCCAGAATCTACCCCAAATGAAGGTTATTTTGCCCCCTTTTTAATCAATTACTTTAATTTATCTATGTAATTGTGTATAGTTTTGATTTCATGTTTTAATTTATGCATTTTGATTGTTAATTGGAATGGTATTGATTGTTGGTTTATTTATTTGTGTATAAATTTTTGGTGATTACGAGTTATTGCTGACCTGAACTAAAGGGGTTGGTCATTTTAGGGTTTCTGAGTAGGGAAAGTTGGTTTTTTAGACTTGAATGATTCTAAGAAGAGAAAGCTGAAGATTAAATGGTTTTGGAGTTTTGGTGATTGGTTCGAATGATGTTAATTGCGGTTGATTCGCTGTTGGATTGAGTTTTGGTGATTAAGAGTCGTTTTCGACTTGAATTTATAGGTCTGTTACTTTAGTGGGTCTAGATAAGCTTAGCTGAACAATTTTCATCAAAAATAAGAAATGTTATTGATTATAATTTATTGGCTTTTGAATAAAGTTCGGTAATTTAGGGTTGTCGCAATCCATAGATTTGTTTACTAGAGTGTTTCTAGATAAGCAGTGCTGTATTGAAACAAGAAATGATATTGGTTATGGTTGATTTGCTTGGATTATTTCAGTGGTTAAGGGTCATTGTGGATTTGAATTCGTCTTGTTACTATAGTGGTTCTATATAAGCAGAGATGAACAAGGATTGGTATTTTTGTGGTTGATTCGGTTTTGGATAAAGTTTGGCAATCAAGGGTTGTTGCCAGGCTTAAATTCTTAGATCTGGTTTATACTATACTTTGTACAGTGTTTCTAGTTAAGGGTAGCTAGTTTGGGGAATGAAACAATTTTAATCAATAACAGTTCAAGGTATCATTTTATGATCTAAAAAATGGCACGTGGCTGATAAAAATCTTACGCTCTGGGTGAGTTTGAATTGTTATATCTATCTGTGCAACATTTTCATGGTAATGATTTTTCAAATTAGTTTACTAGATCGCTATTTTGTTATGGTTATTGCATAAGTGATGCCATTGATCCGTGACTCAGGAATGTCACTTGTTTATCTACACTGGTCAGAGTCTGATATTTGAAGCTGCAAAGTTTCGACTTACCTTTGTCTTTGACTTCAGGTATTAAGGAGTTTCCTGGTTTCACATAATTTTGACTCTTTCCTGTCGTAGGTGATAATAATTTTATCTAGATTTTTCCAATTTTTTCACAAGACATCTTGAGTCATTTGTGTTTCTAGAAAGCAATAAGTCAATGAAGATTCAATTTTGTCTGGTTTAGTTGCTGAAATTGCGAATATAGATTGATCTAGAGGAACCTACTGAAAATTGTTTTAGTATTGGGATGTCTCACGTGAGACAATATCATCAATTTTCAATTGCTGACTGCTATTTTCTTACAGCAACCTTCCAAATTCCATATGCATTTCATAGCATTTCGAGCTATGGAAAGACTTGAGAGAAATTTTGTTCTTATATGATCTTTTATGACTATATATGTCTAAGCATGGCACTAAAATGCTAGTAAGGTGCTGAATTATTTTTAATTCATTTCAGAGGTTGGATCTGGAAAGAAATTGAGGTTTAAAACCTCCACGGATGCTTCTATATCACAAATTGCTGAGGCCATGCAGAAGATAGCCTCCCACATCGGAAATTCTGCTAAGTTCAGTAAAGCTTCGAAGTTGGCTATACAGTTGATTCAGGCTGGAAGTGTCAAACCTGAAACTGCTGATCACTTCTTTTCCATACTGGAAGCAGCAATGTTTTCGCCTACTTCATGCAATAATGCTTCTGCACGATCAGATTATCATGCATTGTTCTCTGCGGCACAAGATGCAAAAGATGTAAGTTTTTCAATGATCTTTAATGCGTGGTTATCTCTGTTATTATGATTGTTGATTTCATATTTGATACATTTCTGTAGAGATGACTCTCCTTGTGTTGACTGCAGTGTCTGAATAAGAAGCAGAAGAATCAACTAACTGTATGGACCATCCGAGCCGTGGTGGCAAATGACTTGTATACTGATGACAGCTTTGTGGTAAGCATTTTGGAACTTTGCTTAAGATATCATTTACTAATTTTTTTTTTTTAAAAAGAAAGAAAGAAAGAAAGAAGAAAAGTAGAGATGATGATATATCTGTGAGTACTATCATAGATAGGTTATTCAGCATTAAAATATGAGTTTGTGATGTTATGACTTTGCAACCCATAGTTATTTTGTAGCTTAAAGGATGGCAGTATGGGTTAATGAATTATTATGATAAAGCTGCTAGTTTTTTGTAATTAAGTATTCTTTAGATCGAGTGATGATTAATGCTTTATCACCTGTGGAGGGGCTGATGCCTGTAGATCTAGTTAAGAAACAGTGTATAGAAATAAAGGATCCCTATTAGGGCTTATTTCTTTGGTATATTTCTGAAGAATATCTTACGATTTAGTTGTGGATTGTGTACAATATTGGTATGCATGCAATCTGCTGTGGAGATTTTGATGCATCTTTGAGGATGGGATAAAGTTGGTCTAAGAAGAGGAATTAGCCAAATGTTCTATGCTCAAAGTGATTTGTTTTCTACTCTAGGATGGATTGATGAATGAGTTTTTTGATGGCATGTGTTATTTATGTGAGATAGAAGCTTATGGTCAGAGTTGCCCCTTATATATTAGTTACCACTTTTGGTCCATAGTGATTTTCTAGCATGGCTGCTGGATAATAATTTATATTAGAATAAAGGTTTATTTGTGCCTATCAAATTATAAGTGACGACCTCATTGGGGCCTTGCGTTATGAATTTGTGTTGGTTTAAGTGTAGATCAGTACAATGATGAAAGAACAAAGAAGGGGATTACAAACTATTTTTCCCTTGTAAAAAATTGTGATTGAGGTGGCATAGAAATTTCAAAAATGTTTTTAGATGCAAGGTGTTATGGAAATTGGCAAAAATAATTTTTCTGAGTGTCTCTTCTTATAAACATTTTTACATGCTCTCATTTCCAAAATATTACTAGAACAGCAGGATTTACCCTTCAGTGTTTCTGTGATTTCTAGGATGTTCTGTGCCTCTGTGGCTAACTGGATGGTATTGTAGGCAGTTCAGAGTTGCCAAATGTAGAAGCTAGGGTATTTGAGATTTACGTTTGACAAATAGGATCAGAATGGGTTTTATGCTAAAAGGAGATACTTTATTTATTGCATTATTCCTGTCAACATGTCTTCTTCAGGGAATTAAATGGTTGCAGAAACATGGTGATGGAAATTACATCTTTGTGTACAGAAATCATTGACCTGATGAATACTATTAGCGTATGCATACTGGTGTGCTTATACACCACAGTGACTTCATGCTTGTGCTTGTAAATGGGTTTATTAGCTTACAACCTATACCTTCTGTTGGACCACTTCATTCTGTGGTATTCTAATATTCATATGCTTCTGCTCATCTATTCATTGATTGACATATCTTATAAAAGTTCTCTCTGCGGTTCATATTATAAATAACAGAAGATAAATTTCTAGAGTAGTTTTTGTAAATTTTATGGATGGCTCGGGTGTTGTGGGGGGTGCGGAGGGGGAACATGCAACTCTATTTACTTGCATGCAAATATATGTCTTTGACCTCACCTTATGAGCCCAACTGGCCATTATAACAATTTATACATTTTTATATATATATATATCTGGGACTAAAATATATATGAAGTTTAATACCAGAAATTAGATGAAAATTTAGATAAGCAGATTTTCAATCGTTGCAAACTTGATGAGGAAGGTATAAATGAGGAAGTTTTTTCAATCCTTTGGTTAAGCTACAACAAAAGCTCTGGTCAATTTTAAGTGTCTCAAAGAGATACATCCAACCACCAAACCCTACACATGTGTAACCTAAGTATCAATACACCAGCGTGTCACCTATTTTGAAAGGTCTACAATTAACTCTTTATATGGCAGTTTTGGGGCTGGGAGATGAAAAATACGTAAAAAAAAATTAATAATTTAGTTGCAGCTAGAGAGGGTTTAGTATTCCTTAAAATAATAACAAAGAATGGAGAAGTCAAGAACCAAGAAACAGATCATAAGTTTTCTACTGAAATCCATGTCTATTATAATTCATAAGAACACAATGCCAAAGGTAGTTATTCTATTTAAACTATATATTTCCTCTGATCTTAACCTCATGAAGCAGATGAGTATTCCTTTCCTGTCTCCAACTCTCCACCGGTAACTAACATGAGGTAATAGTAAAGAGCAAATTTTGTAGATTGGAGAGGTACATGAAAATGCATGGCTTAGGGAAGCAGTTACAGTTCTTCATCTATAGACCTCTTCACAGTTACTTTTCGTATGGCAAGTTGGCAGCCCCTTTTTTTTCTGTGAAGCTTTTAAGTTTTTAAGCTCTACCATTGCTGGTAGCTGTCTTGACTTTCTTACATTAGTTTCTATTCTGATTATAGTTTTTGGCATTCTGGCCAATGTGAAGCTTCATTGATGTAAATTGTTTTATAATGTACTTTCCTGAGCTTATAATGCGTGTGTGCTACCTAGGTTAACATTCTTGTTCGGGCTACATGCAGTTCTCAAAAGCTGCTGGTCGCGTCAAAGATTTGATATCCAATCTTCCTGTTGCAACCAAGGAAGATGATGCTGAGGAAGTTGCAGCACTTCAAGATGAGAAGGAAAGGGTAAGTAGAGAGGTTCAGTCAAGCCAGGATGTGATTCCCTCTGATCTTTCTAATGAGGTTACCACCAAAGAAGAGTTCGATCCTTTTGGGCTTGATGCTCTTATCTCAAGTAAACCGAAAAAAGAAGCAAAAAATAATAAAGGGAAGGAGGATGAAGAAGAGATGATGAGATTTCTGAGGTTACAAAGAGAAGCCATAATCAATTGTTTGGAGATAGCTGCAAAGCGCTATAAAATCCCATGGTTTGTTCTAGCGCCCCTTTGCTACAAGTTAATTACTTCATTCTCGTTTTTTGTGCTAACAACGATGGAATCTTATTTGTAGGTGTCAGACTGTCATTGACATACTGGTAAAACATGCCTATGACAATGTATCACGGTTCACCTCTCAACAAAGGGATGCTATAGGGAAACTTTGGACTTCAATACGAGAGCAACTTAATCGTCGAAAACAAGGGAAGTCAGTTTCCGGTAAGCTTGATGTGACTGCTTTTGAATCTCTTCAAGAGAAGTACTCAAATGAGAAGATCAGCATTCGTCGTGCTGTTGGGGGTACTGGGGACAGACGTTGTCAGCAGTGGCTTGGTTGATTGGCTTTATATTCCTTCGTTTGTACCAGCTAAATCTTGTACACTTATTTGAGCAAATGGCATTTAGAGAATGTCATTTTCAAGTGAAAGAGCTGTAAGCTTCAACTGTATATACTGTACTTCCTAGTTATATAACATTTCAGTATCTTTCCCTATTTCTTTTTGTAATGCATTACCAGTAGTCACCACAAGAACAAGATCCTTCTGAGAAATGGTGGAAGCGAATACGGTCCCTAACTATGATGGTCCTCTTATAGATCTTGGAGAGGAGTTTTGTAGCAGTATGGCAGTCGTCACAAACCCTTAGATTTTTTACAATCCGAATAGGAGTACTGGGAGCTGTGTTAATAAGGCCAAAAGCCATGGCAATCTTCTCACTGTGATACTTAAGTGACTTCTCTCTTTCTTTCTCTTCTATGTTAAGCAGTACTACAGAAGTATCTGGCTTGTAACCAGCTGCCTCCAGTTTGCAGAGCATCTCCCTGAGCATATCATCAATTTCTCCAAATTGTGCGTGTGCCTGAATTCCTGTTGTGAACTCATGCACTGCACCATTTACCTCGATACAACTGATTCCCGGTTCCTTTTTCATTCCTCTGTTTTTCATGGCTTTTCTCACACTCACTACATTCTTCCATCTCTTCTCTGTTGCATAGATATTGGAGATGAGAACATTATGACCGCAGCTTTCAGGATCGATTTCAAGCAGCTTCAAAGAGGCTAATTCCCCCAGGTCTGGGTCCTTATGAACCTTGCAAGCGGCGAGTAGAGCACCCCATACGACTACATTAGGTTTCATTGGCATGGTTTGTACAATATCATATGCTTCATGAAGCAAACCTGCTCTCCCTAAAAGGTCCACCATGCAACCATAGTGCTCAATCTTTGGTAACAAGCCATACTTATTCTTCATTTTCTCGAAAACCCTCTTTCCTTCTTTTACCAAACCTGCATGACTACAAGCACTAAGCAATCCGATGAATGTAATTTCATTTGGTTTGATCTGCAAATTTTCCATTTTAGTAAAGAGCTCTAAAGCTTTCTCACCGAAACCATGCATACCGAACCCCAATATCATACAGTTCCACATGCATATATCTCTATTTGTAGCTTCTTCAAACAGCCTGTAGGCTGTAGTTATATCACCACATTTGGCATACATATCAATAAGAGCAGTATTGAGTACTATGTCTCTATTTATCCTCTGCTTATCTATGTACGCGTGAATCCACTTTCCCAAGTCAAGTGCACCTGATTCTGCACAGAATGATACTAGGCTAACCATAGTTACCTGGTTAGGCTTTATACTGCTTTCTCTCATTAGAACAAGGAGATCAATCGCCTTTTCAATGCAATTACCTCGAGTATAAGCTGATATGAGGACTGTCCAAGTCATAATATCCCTTCTCTCCATTTTATCAAAAATCGTCCGTGCACTACTGATTTCACAACATTTACCATACATATCTAACAGAGAAGTAGCCAGAGGTAAAGTCATGACAAAACCATTTCTGATAACATAACCATGCAGCTGCTTTCCTAAGTCCAAAGCCTCATCTGTTCCACATTCTGCAATCAAACTCACCAGAGTGACTTCATTTGGTAAAATCCCATCTTCTATCATCTGCCCAAAAAGTCTTACACCCTCCTCTACAGCATTGCAACGAATGTAGCCTGCAACCATTGCTGTATAAGCGTAGACATTCTTTTCGTTTAGTCTATCAAACAGGGAGCGCGCAACAGCTACACTCCCACTCTTAGCATGCATCTCTATCAGAGTAGTAGTCAAATTAGCTCCTAAATGATTCATGTTGCTATTCTTGATCACATAAGCAAACATGGGCTTTGTCAACTCCTTGTTCCCAACATCTGCCAGAAGCTTTAGAATACTAATCATCGTACTTTCACTCGGCTTCACTAACTTATACTGCATTTCTCTGATCATTCTCAGAGCTTCATCAAACACCCTGTGCTTAACATATCCCCTAATCATTGTATTCCAAGAAACAACATCTCTTTTCATCAGTTTTTCGAACACGAGCCGTGCAGAACTCAGAAACCCACATTCACAGTACATTTGAATCAAAGTATTCCCCACAAAAACATCAAAATCTAACCCATTTTTTAGAGCAAACCCATGAATCTCTCTACCAGGAAAAACACAACCAACCTGTGCACAAGATTTTAGAAGAGAAGCAACTAAAAAAACTGTCAATTTCAATGTTCATTTCTCTCATTTGGGCATATATATTTAGTGCATATTTTGGTTGATTATTCTTATTATAAGATGTTATGAGGAAATTATATCGAGCAGCCGAGGTTGAATATAATGGAATTGTAGGATGAATTTCATGAGAATAATTGAAGTGGGTTTTTAGAAAGTGAGCATGGATTCGCTTAGTTTCATCAATGGTGAATTGATTATGATTTGGTTGTTGAATTTTGAGTTTGAATGTGGGAAGATTTTGGTGTTGGTGTATTTGGATTGTCAAAGGAGGGAAGCAAGTTGTTGTTGCCATAATTTGGCGGATAGATGTGGTAAGGTGCCCGTATTTTTTGAGTGTTGTAGCCACACATTACATTGTCACATCCACATATTACATAATCTTTTGAATTGTAAAAAGGAATATAATATCTTGTGTACTACTTGCAAATATCTAGATGACAAAATTGACCCAATCTATTAATATACTCTCCATGTGAATGTCAATTTGGTATTAAGAATATATTAGATATAAAAAGTTAGTATATTGTGATTATTTTACATTTGTTTATTAGTAGAGTGTATTTTGAATAATCTTATTATACGCTCGAGTGTATTTAGATATTAGTATATTAAATAGCTTTTTATATTTCAAAATAAAAAAATATCCTCGAATACACTTTATATTTTGTGCAACTAGGTAACTTGTTTATAGATTTTTCATCAATTTGAAATGTTTGGTATCTATTAATATACTCTCCATGTAATTTCAAGAATTTTTTAAGTTCAAACTAACCTATAAGATTTTTCATCAATTTGAGATGTTTGGTATCTATGAATATACTCTCCATGTAATTTCAAGAATTTTTTAAGTTCAAACTAATCTATAAGCTTTTTCATCAATTTGAGATGTTTGGTATCTATGAATATACTCTCCATGTAATTTCAAGAATTTTTTTCATTTTAAATTAACCCAACATGTGTTGTATCTAACTTCTTTTGACTCAGTTCAGAAAAAAAAAACCTTAGAATAGTTATAGACAAAATCTAATAAATTTCGAAGAATTTTGTTGATTTTAGTTTCGTAAATTCAAATAAGTACATTTAAACTTAAATAAATCCAACAAGTCATATACGTTTAAATAAAACATTATCCTTTTAGTCTTGATTATGTCTTAATAAATACTCCCTTTATTTGACTCTTCTTGTTCTCTAAGACCCATCTTAAAATGTAAAAATCTCCATACTGTTTATGCAAAAATTACAGAATTATCAATATAAATATGATATTATAAAAATGGACATTGAAATGAACTAATATGACCCCACATGACTATATAATTATATAATTTGTGCTTAAAGTTCAAAAAATTTAATTTCACAAAAATGTAATAGGGCAAACAATTAGGGGCGGAACTATAGAGGAAGTATTAATTTCAATTTAACTTGATTCATAATCAAATCTTTGATAATAACCATATATGGCATATTTATTTTGAAACAATTAAGTTTAGCTCAAAGTAATATTAGTCCGTATCAAAATCAAGGATGCTACTCGGCTACTCCAATCAAATAATACTCCCTGTGTAACTCATATTTTGTTTTTTAAAGTTTTGATTGAATGAAATTGATGAGATAGAAAAGTGATGGGACATAAAGTAACAATGTGAGACAGTAAAAGTAAAATTGTGAACCCCATAGCCATATATAATATGAAACAATTTTTCATAAAAAGTGAAGTAACCAAATAATAACAAAGGGAGTTGCCCCATCCTATGAATATTCATAATAAAGATATAAAATCATTATATTATACTCTATAATGGATATACCATGAAAATCCCAAAACTTGTTATTTCTCCTCAAAAGCACAAGATAAGGTGATAAATCAATCACTCAATCTCCCTCCAACTCCCACACTCACACTATGACCATGCTATCTCTCTCCTCCTCCCACCCCCTTTCTTCCTCCACCACCCTCTTCTCCACCACCACCAAACACCTTCTCCCACCACCGTCTGCCACCTCTCTTCGCCTCGCCAGCAAACCAATCACATCCTCCTACTCTCCCCCTCCTCTTGTCCCCAACCTCATCATCCCCAAATCCTCCTCTTCCTCTCCTCAACCCCAAAACCTCTACCAACCCTTTCGCCCTCCTCCCAACCCCCTCCCCCAAAAATACAAGAACCTCGACACCGCCTCTATCATCGAGGTTCTTGCTAACCGTCTTGGTTTGTGGTACGAGTATGCTCCCCTTATTTCAACCCTGTTTCGAGACGGCTTTACTCCACCTTCCATTGAAGAGCTTACTGGAATCACTGGTGTTGAGCAGAATCTTCTCGTTGTTGCTGCACAGGTGAGGGAATCCATTGCTGAGTCCCCCCTTATTGAGCCTGAAACTCTGGCTTTCTTTGAAAATGGTGGGGCTGAGCTTTTGTATGAAATTCGGATGTTGAATACGTCGCAAAGAGCTGCTACTGCCAATTATGTTGTCAGGAATAGATATGATGGGGAAAGAGCGCGGGAAATTGCGAGGAGTATTAAGGATTTTCCGGCGAGAAAAGATGAGCCGGGTTTTGGTTGTTTTGATTATAATTGTCCTGGGGATTGTTGGGCGTTTTGGCATTATCGGCTCTCAAGGGAGTTCATGAATCCGTCGGAGAGGAGGAGCTCGGCTTTGGCGACGGCGTTGGAGGTTGCCGAGACGGATAGGGCGAAGGAGACTGTGAGGGAGGAGATTGAGGGGAAGAAGGAAGGAAAAGTGGATGAGATTGTGAAGGCGGCGATTAAGGTGCCGGTGGTGAGGTTGAAGATGGGAGAGGTGGCGGAGGCGACCACTGTGGTGGTCTTGCCGGTTTCGCAGGCGGTTGAGGGGGAGAATGGGGTTGGGAGGGTGCCTAGGGAGTGTAAGAGTGAAGGGGAGTTTGGTGTTGTGGTTGCGGATGAGGGGTGGGATAGGTGGGTGGTGCTCCCGAGGTGGATTCCGTTGGCGGGGATTGGGACCGGAGGGGTGGCGGTGGCGTTTAGTAATGCTAAAGTGTTGCCATGGAGGGTGAATCGGTGGTATGTGGATGAGCCGGTTTTGGTGGTGATTGATAGGAAGAGGAGGGAGGTAGAGGTTGATGATGGGTTTTACTTGGTTGCTAGGAAGGGTGGTGATGATGGAGGGTTGAAGGTGGAGAAAGGTTCGATTTTGAAGGAAATGGGGGTGACCGAGAGCTTAGGGACGGTTGTGATTGTGGTTAGGCCGCCTAAAGATGATGTTGATGATCAGTTGAGTGATGAAGATTGGGATTGATTGTTTAGTTTAGGAGGTTCTTGTGGTGAGTCTTTTTGGGTTAGATTCATGTAGATGGAAAAGAGACCAAATATCATTGTAGTTGTATGATGACTATTGCTCTAGTATAGAGCTTTTAATTTTGTTTTCTTTGTTTTGAAATGGATACATATTATTCAATCTTTTACATCGAAATGTAATTTGAAGTGTTCTTTTGCAAATTGATTGTCTATTTGAGTAACTAGCAGGGAAAGAATAAAGACCAAACTTTTCATGTCTTTTCATTATTGCCAATGCATCAACTACTAGTGATCAAGCAAAACATTCTAGCAATCTTGAATTCAAGCAACTCTGTTTGAATGCCAGATTCAGAAACTGTGAAATTGAGCTGATCTAATGGCATAGCACTATGCGCGACAAGCACATAGAAAAACAGACCAAAGATCTCCTATTCCCATTGCATCAAATACTCAGGAAACGAGAAATTAAAACTTGAAACAAATGGAACATGGCAATTACCAATATCTAACCCAACGCCTGAAATAAGGCCATTAAAAGCTAGCACTCTAATGGAAGTACATGTATTTATCCAGCACCAAATTTCTTGTTTCTTGGACGACCTATTATAAGATACATGAAGACTAATCAGGATTCAAACATCACTACTCAGAATAATGCGAAGGGCACTTACTTTCTAAAGCAGTTTTGATGCTTTCTAATCAATTATCAGGTAGCTGTCCACAGTCTTCTATGACCACCGGACATTTAGTTTTTCCATTGTCACTGCCCTGTTTCTCCATATCAGTAACCACATTATAACCTTCGACAACTTTACCAAATACCACGTGCTTTCCATCTAGCCATGATGCCTTTGCAGTGCAAATAAAGAACTGCGAGCCATTACTATTTGGTCCAGCATTTGCCATAGAGAGAATACCGGGTCCTGTATGCTTCAACTTGAAGTTCTCATCCGCAAACTTCAAACCATAAATTGATTCTCCTCCAGTTCCATTTCCCCGGGTGAAATCCCCACCCTGGCACATAAAATCTGGGATGATTCGGTGAAATGCCGAGCCCTTATAATGGAGTGGCTTCCCAGCTTTTCCAATTCCTTTCTCCCCAGTGCACAGAGCACGGAAGTTGTCAGCCGTTTTGGGGGTAACATCAGCAAAGAGCTCCATAACAACTCGACCAGCCTTCCTAGTCCCAATCAGAATGTCAAAAAAAACCTTGGGATTCGGCTTTGCCATCTTGCTCTTCAAAGTCTTGCTACTGAATCCAAATCAAGAACCTCAAGAATTAAACAAAGCCAATTACATAAAAAGAAAGCAAAAGTAAAATTACATACCAATGACATCTGACCAATATATACAGATACAAATAAACCAAAGTAGCAACACTCATCAACTAATGACAGAGATAAGCAACCTTCAACTCATTGTGCTTTACTTAAAATAAATCAATACGAAACCACCAGGAACAAATGACAAACCTGATAATCAAGCAATGCAGAGATAAGAACCGTCAACTAAATGTGATTTACGGATATAAATCAATACGAAATCACTGACAGCAAATGACAAACGCGATAATCAAGCAATGCAGAGATGAGCAAATTTAAACTAGCTGTGATTCACAGAAGATAAATCAATACGAAACCGCCAAAATCAAAAGACAAAAGCGATAATCTAGCAAAGTGGCATCACTGATTTCTAAATGAAGTTCATTGCTCAACCAAACAAACGCAACAACTATAAAATTCTCCTAAAACACCCAACCGAGTTCGCGTTCTTCATATGCAAATGTCGGAAATCGATTGCTTACACAATATTGGGTTGAATATAGAGGACAAATCCTTCCAGCCCCAATACACTTAAACCAAATTATCAACACAAAAATGTAGTAAATTTCATTTCAATTAAAACAAAACTTTACACAATGAGTACATTTACTCATTTATACACTAATTATTTGCTTAAGTTCTTCGAATTAGAAATCAATGTTCGTCACCCAGAAAAAAAGATCCCCAATAAATATAGAGATAATATAAGCTGATTGACGACATTTTAGATATTGCACAGCTTTTGAGCTCAACAGGTTACTGAAATTAATTAACCGGCAAGCCTTCGATAAGTGCTTCTTTCTCAAACAAAATCAAACAATTACAAATCCAATCAAAAATGAAAAAAACCCTAGTTATAAATGGATTTATGAATTCTTGTGAAACAGAAATTAGAGGGTAGAATTGGAGTAAAAAAACAAAAATGCTAGTAGATAGATTGAATATGAAGAAGCAAATAAACATGAATATAAAAGAAGAGAGAGAAAATAGTGTGAAAAGTACCTGTTAGTGTTGAGTGTAGAGTGCCTGGCGTTTGACGGTGATGCAGAGAGGTTTAGGGTTTTAGAAGATGAAATTAATTTTTTTTCTATCTGTCTTTTGAGGCTAAATTTTTTATTTTATTTTTGGTCTGGTGACTCTATTTTTTTGCATTTTTTATATGGTGGAAAATTTAAATACTTTTTAAGAAATTAATTAGCGGTGAAACAAATACAATTTTAAACTGAATCAAACAGCAAATCTAATCCTATTCCAAAAAAAATAAAAAAAAATCAAATCTAATCAAATTAGTAATGCGGTTTTTTTTTTTTTTTTTTTTTTTTTTTTTTTTTTTTTTTTTTTAATTTGGTTTGGTTCTGTTTAGGGAAATTTTCCCCGCCACGTGGCCCAATTAGCGCCTGCCACGTGTCAGCCACGTGGACCAATCAGGATTTGCCACGTGCCATATTCCAGTAGGTCCAACATGGACCAACCACGCCACTCCACGTGGTGCACAGATTGCTAACCTGGAAAACGACCAACAAGGCCCGAATCCCGAGGCAAGCCCAATCAGTCCTAGGTTTTGCCAGAAAACCTAGTATTGGGCACATACTTCGAGGCTATAAATATAGTTATTAGCTTCCATTTAACACAAGAATCAACTCACCAAGAGAAGCCTAAACACACGTGCATACTAATTGCTAGACCGGACTTAACATTAATTGCACACATCGATCATTCCTCCCCTTAGAGGAACCAGATCACTTTTACTTTCCGCACCTTTTACTCCTTAAACACTTTCTAACTTGATCGTCGGAGGTGAAGCTCCCACCAACCGGAGTTTCCGTTGTTTTGCAGGTACAGGCGCACGGATCCAGTCCCGGAATTGTAACTCTCCTGCAGGACATAAAAAAAACCCCGAAACATTTTGGCGCCGTCTGTGAGGAGAGTACTTTCGAGATGGAATCACAGTCTGTACCGATTCTAAGTGAGAAGCGTCCTATGGACAGTCCCCAGGTCTACACGGACCAGGATATTAACAATGAAACTGAGGTCGAGACTCGCACGGCCCTTGACGGGTCTCTTAGAGCTCGACGCACTCGTCCCACTGAAAGGAGGGAATAGGAGGACTGCCCGGCTGGATATAGTAAACCAGCCGGCCCGTCGCTTGATCATCAACAGGCGGCCGAGGGATATGCACCCATCACCAGAAACAAACTTATGACCTTCATGAATAGTTTCAAGGGGGAGATCCAGGAGCTTATCAACAAAAGGGCGACTGTTCCACCAAAGGAACAGTCGGCCAGAAGACCCTCCCAGTTTGGGAGGAAGAAGCTTGTAAAGAATCGGGAGGCGAATCCTTACCCTAGACCTAGGGAGAGGGAGGCGCCAATGATCGACCTAACTAAGTACTGTTTCCCTTCACCAGGGAAGAGGAAGCCCATCTGTCATGTTCAGCCGGATGGGTCCAAGAAAACATACTCCGATGCTCGAATACTGCTCGAGCAGAAGAAGAACGATCGACTGTCAAAGTTGGCCTCTACGTCTGATTTTCAAGACAGTCTCCACAATACCTCCCTGAGGTATTCAAAATCAAACTATGAGAGTCAGACGGGCGGTGCATCCTCTCGTTCTAGTTCCCAAAAACATCATGCGGCTCCGTATGTGCCTCCTCGGCCATACGTTCCACAATCTCAATATTTCATGCAGCTTACTCCCTTTGGAGGACAGGAGGCAAGGAATGTCCAACCTTTGGACTAGCAGCTTCGGCTGCTCAAGCTGGGAGAACAACCATCTGCCTTCTCCAAAGAAATAATAGAGGTCGCCCAGCCGGCCAAAGTAAAAAATGTGTTGGTAAGGGCCTATGATGGCACTGCCAACCTTGAAGACCATTTGATGGCGTACACCAACCTTATGTACCTCCAAGGGTTGGATGACGCCACATGGTGTAAGTGTTTCCCGGCCACATTGAAGGGCATCGCCCAGAAATGGTTCGGCAACTTGCCGACCGGGTGTATAAATAATTTCAAGACCCTCGCCTACTTGTTCACATCAATTTTTTCAATGAACATTCCTGCTAAAAAGACCACCCTTGACTTGGGGGCCATACAGCAAGGAGAGAAGGAGGGACTGCGCTCCTACATCAAGAGGTTCAATCTGATGAGAATTCAAATACAAGGACTACCTGATGAAGTAGCTTATATAGACTTTTTCAAAGGTTTGAAGGACGGGTTGAACTTCAAATTCGACCTCGTCAGGAAAAGGGTGACTACCTTACAAGAAGCAATGATGGAGGCGGAAGCTTACATTCAGGCGACCGAACTCTGTAATGTTGGAAATAAGTCGGACCACAAGAAGTCCGACAAAAGAGAGAGCCGACCAAAGCAGTCGGCCAATAAAGAAGAGAAAAAGAGAAAAGAAGTCTGGGCGACTGACTCCTCTGAACAGCCGTCCCAGAAGAAGAAGAAGGAATTCAAACCATACTCCCCCAAGTATGAGTTTAACAAGGATAGTTATGCCATCCTCACGGAAATCAAGGACCGGATCTCAATTGAGAAGTCGTCTGCCATGAAGAGTTCCGTCAACAATCGGAACAAAAATAAACATTGCCATTACCATGAGGACATTGGTCATGACACCAATGAGTGCATCAGCCTCAAGCGCCTCTTGGACCGCCTGGCAGACAAAGGGGACCTCAACTCTTATGTCAAGAAATCAAAGGGTACTCAATACCCCAAACAGAAACAGGCGGACAAGAAAAGGGCAACGCCTGCTGAGAGCTCGGACACTAACGAAGCGCTAGTTTATACTATAGCAGGCGGCTTTGCAGGAGGAGGCCCTACTATCCGAGGCAACAAGGACAACATCAGGCGTTTAGATGTTAACTCCATCAACCAGGGACGGACCTCCAAAAGTTCATTTCCAAAGGTTGTTATTACTGAGGAAGACTTGGGAGGAATCAAAGGGCCGCATGACGACCTTATAGTAATTGAATGCAAGGTGGCCAACTAGAGAGTTGGTCGGATTCTAATTGATACTAGGAGTTCATCTGATTTCATCAGTAATAAGTGCTTGGCAAAGCTCAAGTACAAGTCTGACAGTATACACCCGGTCTCCCATCCCTTAGTAGGATTTGGAGGAGGGTCGTACACCTAGTGGGACGGGTGGATCTGCCTATTCGCCTGGGTGACAAAGGGGAGGGCCGTCACATGGTGGTCCAGTTCTTGGTGGTCGACGAACTGTCGGCCTACAGCATGATCTTGGGACGACCCACCCTGAATAATTCCAAAGATGTCTTCATTCCCTCTCTTATGCTTCTAAAGTTTAAGAGAGATGATGGAACAGTCGGCTCCCTAACGGGAGACCAGAAGATGGCCAGGGAGTGTTATCTCTCTGACATCAAACCTATTGTGGTGGAAGTCGGGCCCAGTGGAGAGACTAAGGACCTTGAGCAAATCAAGGGAGCCGCGCTTGCCCCAACAGCAGCTGGCAAGAAAAGAAAGGCCACCCATCTGGAGGCCGAAAGGAAAGAGAAACAATAGCAATCACTAGCCGAGGAGCGGTCAGATGAGTTCCGCCCTCAGCCAGCTGGTGAACATGTTGACGTTGTCCTGGACGACTCTCGCCCTAAGCGAATTGTTAAGGTCAGGACGGTTGCTTTTGCTGAACTTGGTGCTGAACTACACCAACTGTTAAGGGAATTCAAATATGTATTTGCATTTGAAGTTCACGAGATGCCAGGCATAAGCTCGGACCTGGCCGTACATAAGCTCGCTGTGGATCCCAAGAAGAAGCCGATCAGGCAAAAGAAGAGGAACCAGGGCGAAGAGAGAAGCCAGGCGGCAGCCGCTGAGGTTAAGAAATTGCTGGACGTAGGATTCATTCGACAGTGTTACTTCCCAGACTGGGTAGCGAATGTAGTACTTGTAAAAAAGTCGAATGGGACCTGGCGCATGTGTGTAGATTACACAGACTTGAACAAGGCATGTCCCAAGGATAGTTACCCACTCCTAAGAATCGATAATCTGGTTGACTTTACAGCCGGCCATGCCTTAATGAGCTTTATGGACGCCTACTCAGGCTTCCATCAGATACCCTATGGAAGAGAGATTAAGAGAAGACGACCTTCGTCACAGATCAAGGGTTGTTTTGCTATACTATCATGCCGTTCGGACTAAAGAATGCGCCTGCAACCTTCCAAAGAATGATAAATACGGTCTTCTTCAACCAGATTGGAAGGAATGTGGAGGCGTACATAGATGATATGATTGTTAAATCTAAGCTCCGGACGGACCACCTAGCTGACCTTCGAGAAACATTCACCACACTCAGGCGGCACTAGGTCATGCTCAATCCCAAGAAATGTGTTTTTGGTGTTGAGTCTGGGAAGTTCCTCGGATTTCTAATTAATCAAAGGGGGATAGAGGCTAACCCCGAGAAGGTGAAGGCGGTCATAGACATGCAGTTGCCCCGCACTGTCCGAGAAGTTCATCAAAAGCTCACGGGTTGCCTGCCGGCATTGGGGAGATTCCTCAGCTGGTCGGGCGACAAGTGCCTCTACTTTTTCCAAGTTATCAAGAAAAAGACCATGTTTGAATGGGGGCCGGATGCAGAGGCGACTTTCTAGAAATTGAAACAACACTTTCACTCCTTGCCATGGCTGGTCAGCCCTCTGCCCAAGGAAGTGCTATACGTGTATTTAGCGGTCTCTGACCATGCTCTTAGCACCGTTCTCCTTGCTAAGAGGGATGATTGTTAGCTCTCGGTCTACTTCATCAGTCATGTCCTGAAGAACGTTGAATTACGGTATCCTATGGTTGAGAAGTTTGGCCTTCCCCTCTTCATGGCAGTTAAAAAACTGAAACCTTATTTTCTGGCACATCTGGTTGTAGTCTACACCGACCAGCCAATCAAGCGGCCACTGACAACCATGGAGTATTCTGGCCGAATGATCAAATGGGCCATCGAGATCCAAAGTCTAGAGAACACTTTTGAGCCAAGGAAAGCAGTGAAGGGGCAAGCATTCGCTGACTTCATAGTAGAGTTAACCAGGCCGATTGATCCTGAGAACTTTGAGCAAGTTTGGAAGGTCTATGTGGACGGGAGCTCTACAATGAACGGTTGTGGTGCAGGCGTCATATGTCAGTGTCCTGAAGGGGACAGGTACGAGTATGCACTACGGTTTAAGTTCCAAGCCTCAAACAATGATGAGGAGGAATATGAAGCCCTATTGGCTGGCATTCGCATGTGCAAGGCGGTAGGGGCAAGGAAG